CGGAGAATCACGTTATAGATATGAGAATGAGGGAAACGGGCCGGCACATTTACACTAAACTTTTCCGTCATGTAGCGGGCCGAAAAATATCGTCTTGCGGGTCACAAATGGCTTGCGGGCCGCGAGTTTGAGACCCCTATTTTAGATGTTTATTTATTAATATTCACGATTATCTCATTTTTTATAAAAAGAATGTAAATATTTATACTTTCCCTCATCATTTTCGATGTATGCAGATGTATGCGAGATCGAATTTCAAAATAACTTAATATTACATTTTCGGTTTCGGCTTCGGTTTCGGCCGAAATTCATTTTTAATATTCGGCCTTTTTTCGGTTTCGGCCGAAAGTCATTTTTAAACCTTCGGCCTTTTTTTCGGTTTCGGCCGAAAGTCATTTTAAACTTTCGGCCTATTTTCGGCTTCGGCCGAAATCAGAAAATCACTTTCGGTCGGTCTCTAGTGCGAATGGCGGCGCTGCGTGCCTGGTTCATTTTGACTCAATGCTATTCGGATGTCATTTGTGGTAGTTTATTTTAGTTTAACTGAAGCATTAACTTAACAAACGTATAGTCCATTCAATTATCTTTCATCTGATTCCCCATTTTGTCTTACAAACCCAACAATAATAAATAATATTTTAAATAGTTTTTTTTTAATCTCAGCCTCTCACTTCTGGTACCCGGGTACGAATAGCCACTTCGTTACGGTAATTCATTAAAATGTCTTATAATTTATCTTTATGTGTAGCAGTATAGAGCTGTAGGTTACGTTACATGAGTAGTAAGTGTGACTGAAAATAACGGGGTCAAGAAATAGAAGATTTTAACCGTGCCTGCGCCTGGACCGGAAAACACTGTTTGCAAATTGAATAGCAACTGTAACAAGCCACAAGCGGAAGCTCGTATGCCAATGTAGGCCACTTGGTGTTCGCCGTGTTATCGTGTAAACACTGATAACGTCCCACAAAGAAAAGAAAAAACAAGCAATGACTTGGGAAACTCCCCACATACAATTACGATTAAAATAATTTATTATTTTTTAATTATGAACTTTCCCGATTAATTGGTGTACAGGGTAACCCAAGTTTATAAGTTGTTCCATTTATCAATTGAATTTATTTAATAAAAGGAGAAACAGATCTTCATTTAAAATCTTCACCACTAGTTTTGTTGCATACGGAACAAATGTTTAAATTGACCCATTTCCAGGAATGCTGGCAAGATAACAACTTAAAACCCCAGCATAAAAAGTACCGCATTAAAACGTGTCTTTTGTAGGTCTCTTTTTCTCCCCCTCCCCCAGCCAGAATGTGATCGAGCTGTACTCTGACACAGTGGCGTCGGAAGGGGGTTGAGGGGGGGGGGCGGTTCGTCCTGGGCGGCACTTTCTTCTTTATAGGAAAGGGGCCGCATTTTTGGCAAACAGTAGAGTTGTTTTTTTCGTTGGGGGTGGGGGAAGGCTAAAGTCTTGACCCGACCCCCACGCTGCACTAACCCTAGCTACCCCACAACAGTCTGACACGAACGACCATCCGGCGTTAGAAGGGGTGACTTCAGACGCTGCATGAGAGCGCTGTGCGAGTTTTAACTAAAAAGTCTTGGTTGGATCTACACGTAAGATAGGAAGGCGAGCCATGATCTCCCATTTATCATTCCTTAACAATCACAAGATACCTTTTCAAATAAGTGCATATATTCTTGTTCTGTCTAATTTTACGGGGTTAAAAGAAAAAAAAAAGGGGGGGGGGCGTGTTTCACAGTGAGGTATAGTTGATGGAATGCCGCAAGGTGTGAGGCCTGCTGGAGGTTCCTGTTGTGGATTTTAATTCCTTAATTCAGTCTTCATCTGGCCCTGACACCAGGATGCCTGCTATTGTACGCTTGCAATGCAGGTTGGTCGACTGACACTCTCACCAGATGGCCAAACCAATAAATTTGTTGTTCGGCCATTGCTGGCTGATTGGGTTTGGCACCAACCATTTGTCTTCTTTCCTGGTTCCGGATGTGGTCCTTTCTTAGTTTTAACATCTGCTCGCCTTAAACAGATTTCTTCTCGCCGGTGGCTATAACAGTGATAGGATTAATGTTCGAATCCATATCCACTAAATCCACCGTCTGGTTTGGCGCCACTGTGTGTGTGCACGTAGAACCAACCTGGCATGCTTAGCGTGTACACTGTAGCTCCGCTTGTACCAGGACATGTCATTGCGTTGTACACGTACTGAGTGTGATACTTGTCCATCAGCTCCCTCTGTGTCCACTGCCCAACGCTCACCATTTTATAAGATCCGTGAGGATGGGACACGATCACGGCAAATCTGTTTTCGCCCTGCAGTGTCGTATCCTCTTTTTTATATTTAGCATGTAAAACTTCACACAGTTGGTCGTAACGACAGACTTTTGCAACGATTTCATCTGTTAACTGCAAATCGTGTGTGAAAAACCGCAACCAGCATTTGTCGTCGGTTATTTCCGACTCTATGAAGTTAGCGTCGTCCAGCCTAGAGCCCTTTTCGTCTTGGCTATCGTAGTTTAGGAGACACGATGCATCCGCTGTCTCATCCTGGTCATAGATGACGTGTGTCGCAGTGACCACAAATATCTCTCCCCATGAAACTTCCGGTGAACTGGTGTCTTTGCACAACTTACAAGGACACGGTTCCTTGGGGACATTTTCATGCTTGCTAACACGACAGATTCTGCCCGTGCCACTTCGAGGCATCTCCCCCTTCTTGTGGAACGGGTAGGGGATTGAGTCTCCCAGGTAATTTTCGGGACGGCACGCGCTGACCCGGTTGGCGCTGATCTTTACGGTAAGTTGGGAGAGTGTGTGAATAAGTTCAAAGATATCCTTGTCTCGGTACCTGCCCGGCAGATGCTGGAGCTTGAAATCTTTCACCGGGACATAACCGGTATGGCCCGGATTTTTATCACATTTTCCATTCCAGTTCTGATGGGAAGTTTCAATTGTGCTGTAAATCTGTACCTCGTGAACTCCTGGTAGAGAAATGATAAATATATGAAGAAAAAAAAATCACACACGCGAACTATCACGCACACACACTAATAAAAAATTATATGTGCGAGAGAAATCACTCGCTCTTCATAAACTCATTCCCATTTCCCACAATGCCTGCATCTTAAATATTTCGATGTATAATTTAAATAGCTGACAAAGAGTAAAAATCGCTACCAGCGATAGCCTATAATTGGAACATCTAGCAAGTGCAATAACTCTACCGCAATAGTACACACATCTAAACATAACCGATAAAGTGTATCTGCTTTATTGGCTATAAAGAGAGTCACTTGAGGCGGGTATCCTGCTTTCATTCCCAGTTTGTCCACCAACACCCCCCCCCTCCCCACACACACACAACCCTCCATCTTAACCCTTTGCACCGCAAACTATTTTATACACAGTCCGTAGTGACTGGGCTTAGCACACCCGTACCCTTATTCAATGGTAAAAAGTGTTTATGAAGATTCCTGTCAACTGGGTGGGTTACACCCATAGTCTTATATCACAGTAAGCCAGGCCTGCACAACTCAAAGTGTAAGGCGGGCCGTAATACTTTATGAAAAGCCTGTGCATGCCAAAAGAAAATAGGACAGGACTTGTGGGGGCCAAAATAAAATATGTTTGGGGAGTTGGGGGGGGGGGCTTTTAAGAAAATAATAAGGATAAAGAATATTTCGTTACTTCACGGACCGCAAGGTGGGTGCTGGCGAGCCGTATGTTGTGCAGGCCTGCAGTAAATGAGGAAGCCAGGCCTGCAAAACCCAAAGGGTAAGGCGGGCCGTAAAACTTTATGAAAAGCCTGTGCATGCCAAAAGAAAATAGGACAGGACTTGTGGGGGCCAAAATAAAATATGTTTGGGGAGTTGGGGGGGGGGGGCTTTTAAGAAAATAATAAGGATAAAGAATATTTCGTTACTTCACGGACCGCAAGGTGGGTGCTGGCGAGCCGTATGTTGTGCAGGCCTGCAGTAAATGGCTCTCTTTATGTTATTTTCTTTTTTATAATACTATGAGGCATGATTTAGTTGCCTTGAGATCAAAACTCCCTTCACAGATCACATAGACTAGTTTCTACCACTGAAGCATTTCTTCTATACATTAATGAAAAAAATGTTCACACGAAAGGTGAGAAAGTAAAGGGAGACAAACGGAAAGGAATGGCGCGATCTAAATGAAAACTTTTATTGGCTGTTTACTACACACCGGCGCTCTTCATCTGAACAGAATTTCAGAGGAATTTTTTTTTTCAAACATGTTGATGGAAATCCTCTTTTTAGGGCAGCAATGTCATTGAAGAGATTCAGCAAACTTCTGATTCATATTTGCTTTGACAACAAGGATACTGGATCCTTTCTGCCTCGTGACATCTTTTGATCACATAAGAGATGTATGAGAAGCATTCCTGAGTAATTTAACGAGGTATTTTGTTCCATCAGAGAACATCACAGTAAGTGAGCAACTGGTTGATTACAGAGGTCAGTGCAGATTTATTCTATATATATACCAAGCAAGCTCGACATGTATGGTCTAACAATCTTCTGGGCCTGCGAATCGTCTTCAAATTATCCTATTAGAGGCTGCCCATATCTCAGCAAAGAAAATGCAAGTGCCCTGCCAGCAAAGAGAAATGTTGGAATAATCCCAGAGACTGTGAATTATTCTCACAAGGGACTTGCATGGAAGTGGCCGCAATTTCAGAGCAGACTATTATTTCTTTCCCATACAACTTTCAGAACCATTGGCCATGAACAGACTCACCCTATAGTTGGAACAGTGAAACGGAACAAGATGTTCCTACCCAAGGGGTTCAGGCAAAAGAAGGCTCTGCCCCTCAACAAATCGGTGTTTGTGTTCAGACTAGAAACAACCTTGTCAGATACCAGAGCTCGACGCATAAAAATGTATTGCTCCTGAACACGATGCACAATCGTCTAGACTCTTAGATATAGAAAGTGAAGCTGAATGCAAGAAACCAGACATTGTGCTCTATAACAACAAAATCATAGGAAGCATATTCGCCGTGGAGCAAATGGCGTCGGTGTTCTCCGCGAATACAAAACCTATTAGTAAAAGATTACCTTTGGTTGTGTTTTTCAACATTGTTGACTTGGCATAAGCTGCAGCAAATGTCATTTCAATAAAAATATCCGACTAACTCATGTTTCATGAAGACAACAGGCAGTCAATATTGACGTTGCACAATCCCCCCCCCCCCCCCCTCCCGCACCCCCCACCTTCCGCAAGTAGAGGCGATCCGTCTGGACGCATCAAACTATTGTGCTGCAGATGGGAATCATCAAACAGCTGACCAAACCCCTTCAACTCGGCAAGTTTATGAGATATATTTGCAAAGACGACTCTGTTCTTTTATGAAAAAAAAATGTGGTAGCTGAGCTGCAAAGCCCCAGTTTTTTCATGTGTACATAGAACTGTTCAGCTATGAAATGGTTTTTCAGTTGAATAAATGTTACTGTTGTTGGTACCTAAATGCATTCAGAATATTTATTTACTGTCGAAATTTTAAAATCTATTTTATGGATGACACTGACTCAAATAATTAACAAACAACAACCAAACAAAAATGTTCACAAGCAAGTTTAGACGTTTATTTTAATTTTATCAAATTATCTACGGGTGTGTCACACGCAGTTGCCAGGGACTGTAGAAAAACAAATGAGGCCCCCAAAAATAAGTCACTTTCGCATGGTTTATACAATTGCATCCACCACGGTGTTAATTTCATTAGGTTGAATATGGGAAAAATTATTAAAAGGAGACTCGAGATATCAGCAATCTGTCTGTCTCTGGGTGTACATGTATTACACCCAGTTGCGGTCAGTGTTTCTTTCAGAAATTTTCCCCCAGGGGGGGAACTTCAGAGTTTTCGGGGGGGGGGGGGG